CCTCCTCTGTCTCATAAGCTTACAGTGGCGGCTCATGCGTTTTAGTCCCTTTTTTTTGAAAATCAAAGCAGTGTGCATACCTGTAATGTGCTAGGGAGCTCGGAATGTCGGTAAATTAAGCCGTTACTCAGTCGGATAACACTGGGAGACGTGACTTTACTCAGCACTACCCTACATCCATTCTAACCCTCTGTAAGCTTGCAGCAGCGACTGAAGTGCTTTCTGTATATTAAAGAAGTGTAAATGTGTACATAGGACCTTGTCACACTTCAATTCTGTTGACAGAGCATTTAGATAGTTAAAAGACTAGGCTAAAAGGATGAATTTTGCTCAGCAGTACCTGAGTTACTTTATTTGGGGATGAACTAAAGGTCAACATTTTTGAACAATTAGCTCACCTATAGACGTATCACCTCAGTTCTGAATTTTCCAGATTTTTTTCTGCTCAGAGGGATAGTGCAAAAATAATGTTATAATTGTTAAGGAATGTGCGGAAGAAAAAAGCGATTCAGGCTGTTACGGAAATGACGAAAACCGTTTCTGTACCTATTTCGCTCTCTGCCAAGCCGAAACACCTAGTTTGCTCTGAACGCCTGCATCGCTACGTCGTTTCTCTCCAATGTTCTCTTTCTCAGGAGGGAAAAGTAGAAGTGGGGCACATATGCAGGATTCAAGGCAACTTCCAGTGCGCTAAAAGGTGTGAGTGCCCAATGGTTACTTGCAATTGTTTGATGTGTGAAGGGGTCTAAAAATCGTCCCATCGATATTCTTTAATTCGCCTAGTCAGGAACCACTTCAGGTTTTGGTCCCTTGACCGAGCATGTAATAAGTACCACTTGTTGTGCTGAAACTGACTTTCAGGTCACGTGTGACTATGAGTGGGTTAGTAGGCTCTAATGGCACAGGAGTAGTTGAGCCTTTCGAGATTGAATTTCTTCTCTTCTCCGCATTGAATTGTGCAGTTTTCTTCTATGAAGCGCTTATGCGCCAATTCTGCTTGCACAAGAATGGCTATAGAATGGCTAGAAGAGACCAGAAGTCACATGTTCTAGCACATATATTTAGACTGCGTCAAGCTTCACGCTGGACGTTCACCTGAACTTAAACTGAGCCATCTGATCCAGGAAAAGCTTGGTATTCCGTGTCGCTCACCTAGCCTGTTCGTCCTTCTATTTCAATCCTATAAGGATTTTATAATGACATAAAGCTTACATTGACCATTTTTAATCAGTTCTGACTGTTTGGTCCAGCTTCGAAATATTAGGGATTATGCGAGTTCGAAACTTCAAACCTGTTATCGGTTGCTGGAGAAGAGTTGGGAATGTAAGGTGGCTAGATCCCTGTGTTTTAGTCGAGTTTCTGCAGCAGTTTTCATCCATCAAACTTGAAATTAAGCAGTTCTAAGCGAGACTATCATGCTAATGTTCTGAAGAAAACGCTGAAAAATGCTTGGACAATAAATTCATCCATTTATTTACAACTTTATTGTTTATTGAACACAGGGTGGACCAAATGCGATGTTCAGATAAGATACTCTTGTGCGAATGTCGAACGATATTATACGGGAGATAAGCACAACAAGACGAACAGCGAATCTCTTCCTCCTTTACCCAGGACCGTGTCCTTCGGTCCTACAAAAAAGCGTTTGTCCTTCTTTTTGAATTCAACGATCCGACCAAATTCTTTTTCAATCGTCTTATTTTTTCGGGAATTCTTGTGAATTTCACGGCTTGAGTAAGATAAATCGATAGGAGCTTTTAAAATTTCTGGATTGTAGCGAGCTCTTTATAAGTATTGATTTGAAGTGGAAAACCTTATTGTCATTTGAAAGCCTACTTAGTTTTTGTAACAGTGAATTTGCATGAAAGGGGTATTTGGACGGAATGGGAGGAAGGAACCCTCACACAGAACTGGATGTACGCGGCGAAAGGCGCGGCGAGATTCATGACGTTTGGGGCGACTTTGGCAGCTAGCATTGGGGCGCAAACTTGAAGTAGAGTACATTGTGTGGTCAGATGAACGACTTATCGACTCTACTTCAAATTCGGGCCCCAATGATAGGCGCTAGAGTCGTTTCAATCGCCACGAATTTCGCCGAGCCAGTGCAGCTCTGGGTGCGTGTACCCATACCCGGACGAACTATCTAAATGTGTGTGCCATCGGCTACAGTAAGCGGCTTGCGAAGTGCGCCCGTTGTTGTGATGGGTGAGTCAGTTTACTTTGAAATCTACTCACTTCGCACCTTCCTCGCACATCCGCTCACTCATTCAAATTGATAACATGCATTGGAAACTTTATCATTATTTTTATCAATAATATTATCATCATTGTTAGTATTATCATTTATTAACACTTGTTATAATTTATTATCATTTATTGCCATCAATTATCATTTAATATCATTTATTATCATTTTTATCATTTGTTACCATTTATTATCACTTGTTATCATTTATTGTCACTTGTAGTCATTTAATATCACTTGTTATCACTTGCTATAATTTATTCCCATTTATCAGCATTTGTTATCATTTCTTATCACTTATTGTCAGTTTTTGTCGTTTATTATCACTTGTTATCATTTGCTATCACTTGTCATGATTTATTATCATTTATTAGTACTTGTCATCATTTAATACCACTTCTTGTCATTTATTATTATTTACTATCATTTATTGAGTATGCTGGCTAAGTCGGTTCTGGGGCCGTTATTACGTTCTTTCTTGGCCGACAGCATCCTTTGGGGTACCCTTGGAGGTTACAGGTTCAGGAAAGGTAGGATCTAGAATCCGTTTCCAAAATGAACTGTGCCCTAGAAGAAAAAATGGGTTTCCAGCGTTGCTGACAATTCGCTTATCAGGGAGCGATTATTAGTGATCACTACTCGATATCAATTGCAGAAATTACCAGAACATTACGGTTTGGTGGCTTCTTGAAGGGTCTATTACTAGGTGCGGTCGTCGTTGGGCTTCATAATCCAGTGAATACAGCACTGTGAAGGGATATGCTCTATAATGAATTCTGTACCATTAATCTATTCAATCTCTGAGTACACTATCATATATTGATTCCTCTCATAATCACATTGTTATGACTGGTAAATTGGGTGGAGGATCTGCATAAGGCCGGCCATTGTCGATGTAAGCCAGGAAATCTCTCGTGTTGTGGAATTTTCGGCAGATATGTATATTGGACAGGAGGAGGTGCTGCAGTGGCAAGTGGCACATTATCACCCACGCATGGTCCGGGTTCGACTCACGGATCGATATTCGATCAGACCAATCAAGCCCTCTCTCCGGGTTCACTTAACCTTTGTTTTGGTACCAGACCAGTCTGGGAGGATAAAAGCGCTGACTTGTACATCGGCTGGTCACCGCAAGACATTACATAGGCCACATAGGCATTCATGCCCCCACTACGATTCTGAAGTCAAATGGGAAGGCACGTTGTGTAGGGAGCATTAATCAAAATCAAGGGCATTCTTTTTCATCCTTTTGGGACGTGATATAGTCCACAACCAAAACATATGGCCCAGTAGGCGAATCATATTTGTTTGTTGTGTTCATAGTGTTTGTTTGTTGTAGGAATAGCCGATCATGCATTTTATTGAAGGATGAAATTTTATTGATGCGAAGCTCTTTAAAAATGTTATGCAGTTCTATAGAAATTCCTCTTTTGAACTACGGACTATACCACAGGGATGAAAATCCCCCTTCGAAGATTTGAGGAAATTTCGTTGTCTGTCAGGCCTCCGCTACAACTTCTGAATCGCCTTCGTCCTACAATGTCGAATAGGCAAGGCAGTACTTGTACCTGGTTCAGTCCTCTGCTACAACCATTGTTCAAGTCGTAAAATCAAGATCAAAGTCCTCAGATTGAACTCAGAGCGATCGCTTGTCGTCACAGACGTCTTTCTGTTTGCTCTGTACCCGCCCAGATGATATCATGAATGGCTATTTTTGGTCTATTTGGTCCATTGAATGCAGGTTTCCTATAAATGTACGGAATCTTGCATTTTTTCCAAGTGATCACTCTTCTTAGGTTTGCCCCGCTGTTACTGAAGTTGTTCTGTTCTGATGTTGATCTCTGACAGTTCGTTTGTTTTGAGGACACCCTTAGGCCTATATATAAACAAAGAGCGAACCTCAATACGGAGATCGAGTGGTCTCCGTCTCCTGTTGGTCCGCTGGCAGAAGATCAGTCCTAAGTTCAGATTATCGGGCTCACTAGGTAACCCACGCGTCTGCAGTCCAAACTAAATCGGGATCTACAATGAGCTGAATCTTGCTGAATCGTCCATCGGAACTCATTTCAGACTGTTCTGTTAGAAGTAAGACAAAAAAGCACTGTGTGAAGTTGTAGGATTGTTTTGAAGTTGTTCCTTGTTGTGAGTTCTGTTTTTGTTTTTTTGGTGATTGTTTGTTTGAGTTGCGCTTATCGAATTTTCAAACGGAAGGGGGGGGGGGGGGGGCATTTGTCTTAGAGAATGGTTTGAACACCTACCCTTTCAAGGATTTGTAACCAAGATTGCCACCCATATCTCCTTAGGTACGTTCTGGAATTTCGCTGTGTATCATTAAAGGTGCCTATCAGTTATTGGCTGATGGATGAGGCGATCAGTGCACTTTAACATTGCATATTTTGGCTGATAAAGACTTCTAAAGAGGAGCACTGTCTGTGAAGATTCTCTTTTCCACGACAGCAACCAGACGTAGTTCAGTTCAGAGAACTGGCGTCTTCTATTATCTCCTATTCATGTTTTTGTATTGATTTCATTACCAGCTTGCTATCACTAAGATTTATAAGTTCTCAGGTGAATGGACAAACCCACTACCCATTGTGAAGATAACGACACCAAAACGGACACCCCTGCAGAGACCTTAGTGAGTTCCTAGACAGCTTATCTTTTTATGCTGGTTATTTGATAATATTTTTTGTAACGCGATTGCAAATGTGCTCCATTGCGAAGCGGNCACTAAGATTTATAAGTTCTCAGGTGAATGGACAAACCCTCTACCCATTGTGAAGATAACGACACCAAAACGGGCACCCCTGCAGAGGCCTCAGTAAGTTCCTAGACAGCTTATCTTTTTATGCTGGTTATTTGATAATATTTTTTGTAACGCGATTGCAAATGTGCTCCATTGCGAAGCGGTGCGTACGTGAACGCGGCAGACATGCCTTGAACGCGCCGCAGGCTTCCTGCTAGCAGCCATAAATGTCTCATTCAGTCCGGAATAGAGTGCTTGTAATATGTTTTTGAAGGTTTCAGGAAAATACTAAAGGGATTCTTCGACATGGTCGATTTCAGACTATCAAAGTGGAAGAGGATGGTGAGTAGGCAGTTTTTCAGATCCCAGTGCTCTTATGATTTGATCCATGCAATTTTCCTTGCAGAAATTGCCGAACCACAAAGAAAAAAAGGATTGGTCTTACCTTTGGCATACACTAATCACAACAAGTACGTTTTTTTTGAAAACTGTTCATCTCAGCCTTCAGCAACCGGCAAAGCTCTCACAAGACTCCTTTTTGTCTGGTATCTCAACAAAATCAACAAAGTCGATAGCCAATTTTGATAAGGACTGACTCGAAGATGGTGTAAGACATAATGAGTGGCATGGGAAATGGTTGATAGGTGGTGCGCTGCGGAAATAGGTATAGGGCCATTCCGAAGCGAATAAGAAGCATTGAGCGGCTGTGAGCGGCACTAAGCGCCATAGGGACAATATAAAGCTGTTCAGAGCTTCATTCTCAAGGCCTTTCTAGTAATCCCTGGTGGCTGGAGGTCTCTTTGAAGTTAACACAAATCAAATCGATCATTTTGCCTGTTCTCATGATGGAAGTTACAGTAACGATGTTATGACACACATCACTTTCCCATCATGCGGAGTACTCCCTGAAGAGATCAATCCTGAGACTACCGCTCAAAAAGCAAGTACTGTATATAACCCATTGGAAAGATTCAAAAGTAAGCTAAGACTTCAGTTTGAGTAGAAATTTGTTTTTATTTGTTTACCTATGAATGTAAATATTATATATATGTTTGTGTCAAATGTGATGACAGCTGGAACGTAACAACCCCTTGGTGACTTGGTTGCTCAATGGATTTTCAGACCATGATCGAGCTCGTCAAGGCAACCATGGAACGTTCAATGAGAAACCGAAGGTGACCGACAGTGATCAGATTCTCAATCGTAAGTGCAGCGCTTTCAATAGCACGAGATACAGCATTCTACTCGAGGTTCAAATGGTAGCAAGATTTCCTGTGTAGATCTTACCTTGCAGTGATCTAGGGGTGGGTGTTAGGTCTCCTTGGCGTAGCTGACGACGAACAATCGATGATTATGCGTATTATACTTACAGTTATCTCAGATGGGGGAGAGGAGAGTCTGTGAGAGGCCTTGGTGTGGAGAAGCGACAGCGAGGCTAAATTCTTACCGTAGTCCCTTCACTGCTTCACCCTGTAACTTCCCTATGAAGCGGACTACCACAGATCGTTGCAAGGGATGCACAGTGCCTATCGGTGTGTGTTCAAATCATTGCCGCCTGGCCCACCTGTGTTTATTCCTTTGCCGCTCTTTGATGAACCATTAAATCTTTTGAAGCTCGATCTCCTGTCTACAGTATTTTTCAGAATTACGTGAAAAGATCGTTTCCACTATGAGGAACCCCAAGAAATATGGTTTCAAGAATATCTGTCTGCTACTGCTCGTTCTGTCCTACACATTACTCGGTGCAGCCGTATTCTACGTGATCGAATCCAATTATGAGCGTAAGGTGAGAAAAGTACAATATTAATGGGCGAAAACAATGGAACCTCAGCGGATCTGTGAAAAAAAAGTTGGGTAGGCTTCGCTGCCGCGCGCATTTGTGTTTATGAACAGAGCGGAAATGCTCGTGAAGTATAAACCATCGGCTGCTTTCATAGTCCGCCGGCGTGCCGGCCGGTTCCGCACCGCGACCGTACGCGAGATTTCAAGCTTTCAGACTATTCTGCCATGATTAGCCCTCCAACTGTGCTCTATTGCAGACGATTTTGATACGAAAAGCGGCATTGGACAAAACGATAGAATCTATCGCAAAAGAAATGACTGAGACGATCAACGACCCTGAAAAAACGGTCGACGAGCAGACTATGATCACATACCTACAGGTACCTGGTTATCTCAGGTAGTTGAATTCCTTCCAATCAACCAGTTCCACCCAACTTTCAGCGCACCTACATAACCCTTCTGAAGCAGGAGTCGGCCTACGACGGTAGTACGTTCTACAAGGCTGAGGATATGGAGCGCAATCTGCGGTGGACATTTGGCAGCAGCTGCTTTTTTTCCATGAACGTCTACACAACCACTGGTTACGGTAGGTTATTCTAGTGGAGATTAACAAATCTCTTCTCACATATACTTTCTTTTGCCACCAAAGTCGCTAACAAGGGCGGATTCGGAGTCTAGGGACTTCTTTCGTTAGAAACATTGGGCAGATTAATTTTCTGGCGAAGCCGCTCAAATTTGAGAACAGCTCTTTGAAACTTTTTTTTCAATCTTCATCCGAAATACTTATGAGGCACTCAGCGTTTAGGTTCGATAGCGCCGGAGTCAAGTTTGGGGAAAGCATGTGTGATCATCTATGGGTTCCTATTCGTTCCCCTGACTTTGGTGGTCATCCGACACCTCGGCAATTCAGCTCTTGTCATACTGACCAACTTCTATGCAAACATCGTCATACGATGGAGGTGAGCAATCCTCCTAATCAGAAAACGCATCTCCAGAAGTGGAAGGGGCAATCTGGAGTTTGGAATAGATAGCCACGCCCATATTGTCACACCAGTGAATAGGTGAAATTGCAAAATTTAGGCGATTTCGTTCCAAGAAAGATGCTGAGAATGGTGAAATCTTCACACTCCCCGTTCTTCTATGTATGCTCTTCATGCTCGGTATGCAACTTGATTTCTTCATTTTGTTGTTGTCCCGTCATAATTTCCTTTCAGAAGCGGAGTCTATACAAAGTTTGATTTATGACATTAGCAGAGCTTCCTTAAAAAAACCTTTTTGTTTTGGATAGATGCGTTGTTTGGCTATGTCATTCAGAAAATATGGGGCGGATGCGAGGATAGATTACAAAAAGGCTAANCCAGTGAATAGGTGAAATTGCAAAATTTAGGCGATTTCGTTGCAAGAAAGATGCTGAGAATGGTGAAATCTTCACACTCCCAGTTCTTCTATGTATGCTCTTCATGCTAGGTATGTAACTTGATTTCTTCATTTTGTTGTTGTCCCGTCATAATTTCCTTTCAGAGGCGTAGTCTATTCGAAGTTTGATTTATGACGTTGGCAAAACTTCCTTAAAAAATCTTTTTGTTTTGGGTAGATGCGTTGTTTGGCTATGTCATTCAGAAAATATGGGGCGGATGCGAGGATAGATTACAAAAAGGCTAATAACTACAGTGAGCGTTTCGAGAGCGCAGCGATGTGCATTGAAAATGCAACGTGGTTGGCCACCCGTTGGCAGCACTGGACATCGTCCGATGACAACGCTGGACACGCGGCCCACATTCCCATAAACAATGTTCGAGCACAATCATTACATATTCAGAATCATGATATGAGGGTTCAGGGCGTTCATACGAATCAGTTCAATTTTACTTTGAACCTTTTTTTAGCAAACCCGGGATTTTCCTGCTTTTTCACTTTGATTCGGTAAAAGAACTCCCATGCCGAATTTGATCCGATTTTCCCATTGAAAAAGAAATGGCGTCCATTCAATGCTACCAATTTTAGTTTACCTAATGGGCACGACCACTCTGATATTTCTTTACGACAAGTTTTCTGGCGAACCAGACACGGGCGTCAGCTATTTCCTGTCGTTCTACTTCTCCTTCATTTCAATCTCAACAATTGGTCTCGGGGATGTCATGCCTAACAATGTGACGGTGAGCTTGAGAAGCATTTTTTGAAATTCTCTTTACATTCGGCAAATACTCTGGAATAATTCCAGTTCGATCCGATCATCACAGCGCTGTTCTTTTTTGGAATGCCACTCATGAAGGTTGTAAATAGTTCTACGTATCAGAGTGTCGAAAAAGCAACAATCGGTGAGTGAAGTGTCTTCTTAAGGATGCATTTTATCTGAACGGCAGTCTATATAGTGTGGGAACCACTATTTCTTTGGACAGAGGAATTATCAGTTAGTGAACTTTATCCAGGGAAATCCATTTATTGATGGTTTCTGTCTGCACAGCAGGGGACTTCCTGTATTCTTTGATCCTTCGACTATCGATTTGTTATGGTTTGTGGAAACACTGTTGGGTGAACGACCTGTATCAGGGCTAAAATTTCCGCCCCAAAACTGTTTGTCCTCTTTTATGGGCCTTAGTTGAGGGAGCGATACTGAAAAATTCAGTAAGTATTGTTAATTTTTTTAAGCAATTGAGAAAACAGCAAAGAAATTCTCTGCGAAAATTTTAGGGCAAATTTGACTTTTCACTAAGTTTCCAAGGCCACACATATTTTCCCCTTTGGTCATAGTGACCCGCAGTATGGAAGGTTTCTTCCTCTTCTTCGGTATACTGACCATGTATGTACTGGAACTTGTTCTGTCCAAATTGCATTTTAGGCACTCCTTCACTGAACAAGATGCGACCTAATTTTTGCAAAATTGAGTTGGGAGGCAAAAACTTCACATGTATCCTTCTAATTAGCTGCTTATTTGTGTATGAACAAATGCCACCCAGTTTTGTGTGGACCACAGTTCCAAAAAAAAAGTGATTGAACGCACATAGTTTGATTTCTGAACTGCACTCGTACTAGTTCGGCGATATCAGTCGGACAGGTGCAAGGACCACCCCGTTTCGGTTGATTCCGCCGGCACCTGCATAATTTTAACACCGGACGCAAGACTTATATTCTGTGATTCTTTCAGTTCTTGCATGATTTGAGAACTGGAGTTGGTTAGGGTGACCGGCACCTGAGAATTGGCCCCGTAAATCGGAAAATGAACCTGAATTAAAAAAATCGGCTTTGTCTTGTTGTAGCCTGTACCAGAATTGCTTAATTTCAGGTTTACTTACTCTTCTGGAGAATCGCCTTAGTTCAATTTGTGAACGATCTCGAGTGGCTGATATGGCCGAGGTAAAGAGCTTCCTTTTTTTTAGAAGTAGTTACAAAAACCAATCAAAACGATAACGTGGGTCACGAGTTAAGTCACGGGAATCTACTGTGGTCCTAGAGTATTTGAAGGCCATATCTGTCCGTGGGCTGTAGAGGGGTAGACCCAACTCGCTTTTTTAAAAATTGAGATTGGAAATCGCTTTCTCTGCCAGTTTTTAATCGTAAAATGCGAATATTTCAGCATTCTTCAAAGTCTCGGGCGATCACACTGGCGGAGGCGACAGCTCCCACTGTTCTGGTGGGTTATTCGCTTTTTCTCTCCCTGGTCCGATTTCTCGTTGAATTCTGGAAGGAGCCCTGTTTTCAATTTCGCGTCCGGCTCTGGAATTCAATTCTGATCCACTGAATTTTCTGTGGCGAGCAACTTCGCTTCAAAACATTTCCTAATCGACTTCCGACACGCAACACTTTGACGAGAAACGTGACGAGAAACTCGGAAGCAGAAAGGGGTTCACACTCAGATTACCACCTAACAAGGACTTCCCGGAAGTTCCAACAGGGTAACATAAGAAAACTTATGCTACCCTGTTAGACTTGGGTTGCCTGCCAGGCTCGGTAACCCAAGGCAGAGTAACGTATCGACCAGCTCATTGTAAGCTCAGCGCGATGGGGGCATTCATGATCTGACATATACATATAAGCTGCTGTGGAAACAATGTAAACAATTCCTTGGCATACTGTAGCGGACGGACTGGTAGGGGTTCTGAACATGTGGTACTTTCAGGACGATCCCCGAAACCAGTTCACTATCCAGTCAGTACTGACGTTTATCAAGTCGGATGCGCATGTGTATGGACATCGTTTCGGACGAGTGGACTTGACAGTTAGAAAAGATACCATCTAGGACAGATTTGGCCATGGACTACCGATACTCTCACTCGGACGGACGCTCAGGTAAGAAATCGCTGTATTCATTGAATATTCTTTGAGAAGGTGTTTTACCGAGGGATTCAAACTGAAAAATAACACCGAAAACCGGTCATGATAAGGTGCTTTGCTGAACTCGCTGTTGAGGAATTGTAGGTGAATCGTTCGTTCGAAACTTGATTTTTCGGCATTTGTGGCATTTCTATGCAGTAAGCAATGGAAATCGTCCGAATTGAGCGAAGTCGCGTGCTGTGGCTCATTTTGGTTCCCAAAAAAGTCTCCGTACTCGTTCTGCTGCTTCGCTTTTAGACTGTCTGCCTCTCAAAACTTCAGGCCTATGGAAATACTCCCAGACCCACGAAAGGGGTTTCGTTCGCGGCTTGCAAGTGTTCATTGGAATTCTTTCTGTGCACGGTTGGTGAAGTCAACACAACCGAATGCGTCGCGCCGTACTGGCGCAGCTCATCTGAATTCATCTATTGTTGCACGATCGCTGATTTCGAGTGGTGTCGGATTCGTTCAGAAGTACAAGTTGTTGATTGAACTAAATTACCTCAAAATCAGGGTCGGTAGGCATTTCGCTGTCGCTGCAACTCATGAAGGGCACAGCGTCTGTGGCATGTCGCAAAGATCATCTGACCACTATGCTCTCAAGCAGTCTTTTTTATTCAGGCATTCCTTCTATTGCTCTTGGTTGCGAAGGGTTTGCTCGGCTATTGAAATGTAACAACGCTTTCTTTCTTGTAACTCAATTTTGCTTTTCAGTCGGCCATCTGAAATGGAATTTCCCAGCGGCAAAAAAAAGTTACAATTTCGGCAACTTCGTTACTTCGCTTATTGCCGAAGTGGAAAAACTACTAGCCAGTGGTATTCAAAAGCCGCTCGGGTTGTACGCTTTGTTGCTTATGTTGCAAGGGCTTCTGACGTCTCCTTTCAGACGTTCAAAAATGTCAGTTCCCAATCGAACGAAAAGGCCTCCGCTGGTCGATTATGTGGTTCTAACGAGAATCGCCTGAGCCACCTTTCTAGAAAAAGCTATAAAACGATTTGGAAATTGGCTATGGAGACGAAATGCTGACAGGACTTTTCTAGACCCTTCTGCTGAACGAGATTAGGAGGGAATCCCGAGGGAGATGAACTGCGAAAACTTCTTCCTCTACCTAACATTTCCCTATTAAGGTTCCCGAAGGTGTGTGGGTGGTGCGGACCTATTTCCATTGGTAGCCTTAAGGAGGCGTCGAGCTGTTCATTCGTCTTCACTAGTGCACAGTAAATAGAAGCTGATTCATTTATTTTTGTACATTCGGATGATAATGATCGATAGTTTCATGAAGATTAGACAATTTGATCAGTCAGTAGTCATGAAACATCGGGAAATCTTTCATCTTCAATATCTGAAATACAAAGCACCATAAATGCATAGCTATACATAATTAAGTATGGCAAAACCGGGTTAAACATCATGCCGCACACTGAAGCTGATAAGAATGGTTTCAAATGGAAAACCGAACCGAGGAATAGATAATCAGTCGAATTAACGGATGAGAAAGTGTTGAGCAAAGAAAGAGCACAAGGAAATGGCTCATAGTAAGGCGCTCGAGGTACGTGGTCGTTTTCACCGTGCTCCAGCGACGACTCGACCGCATTGCGGCAACTACTCTCTCCCTAAACGGTCCTGGGAAGAATGTTCTACCCACGATGGGAAACCTGTTCACTCGGAGATCAATAGGGAAGCTGTTGTGGGGATGTTCTGTTGATTTTGAGCGATCCCAACACAAACGTCATTCGATTGAACGTACGCACTGCCGCTGGCCTCAGATGATAGTCGCAAATCTGATCCTCACTTCATCCTCTAAAATGCTAAACCCCACCCTGATTTGAGGTCATGGTTCACAAGTCCCGCTCCGCTGACAAGGTCACCAGGCGCGAATGTCGCCAAGACGGGACAGGGTGGAGATGATGAATGAAAACGACCACATCGAGATAGAGCCGAATACGGCTCCAGTGGTTAGATAATCACATGCATCAGGAACAAATCTACCATAATACCTCGAGGTGTTTAAAAAGAAAGCAAATAAACAAAAACGAAAACATGTTAGATATACTGGTTGTAAGAAAACAACAAAAATGATCAAAAAAGTAAATATCAGGCTACATCAGTATTGAGTAAACCGATTTACACGTCTTGAGATTTGGTTGAGGGTATGGGGCGGAGCAGGCACAGCAAACTCGGTGAGAAATAGCCGAGCTCCAGTGCAGCCCAACAGCACATCAGACGAGATAAGCTCGAGCGATATAGATGATCGCGAACGCGTACCCCACAGAAGCACCATAGCCGCCGATCGTCGACGCTCCACCGCCACGGCAGCACTCATAACCACAACAGTACTCGTAGTAACCACATCCCCACACAATCTCATGTGGACGAGTTACACCGTCCTGAAAGGGGTGGAGTTTTGAACAAGTCCTGACTTACTGAGATAGGAATTCTTCTATGAGAAGCTAAAACCTAAATGGGCAGGCTTACCGGTTGATAGATATTTCCGAATTGTGGATCAGATGGATCGATCGGCATTCGGCACATGTTCTCCATTCCTCGTTGTGGTCGATAATAGTTTGATCCCCAGTAGTACGGACGGTTATTCCACCTGAAAACAGTTGCTATGATACACTCTGCAGTAGAAAAGCACATATATTGTATTGTTTAAGAGGAACATGCGAAGGCAAGTGCGCCTACTGAAGGGCTGGATTGAAACGTTCGGAGGTCTGGAAGTTCCGCCCACAAGAGGCGTGTCTTCCCACTAACAAAAGAGTTAGCATCAACGCTTAAGAGGTCACCAGGGCTCGTAAGCTTCTCCTGCAGTGGGCGGTTCTCTCTACAGCTGAGATGTTTTTTGAAAACACTCACATCATTGGGCCAGCCATCGATCTGATGATAGCTTTGCCAGCTTGGTATGTCAAATAACCGGCGGCTGCTCCGACAATCATATTCTTGAACGTATTCGATCGAGATCGTGAACCGATTCCATGCGATGTGAATCTGCAAATGTTCTGATATCAGTCTGGAGTCATCACTTGGGCGTTTTTCTACCAATTCAGTCTACAAAGCCTTGATTAAGCGCTTTGAACACTGTTAGTGGCACTCGAAGACGTGGACATGGGATTAGACATATAGAAAATAGCGGCTAAATTGACCTAGGACTTCCGTAGTTGTGCCGTCTGCCGCCTATGCCGCCAAAGATCTTACCCAATCCAGATGACCTCAAATTTTACAAAGTCATTTTTTATTACCAAGTATTTTACTAAATACTATACTATAGAAAATTGAATATAAAAGTAGTACTGTGCAGAGCAGCTGAGATCACTACTACTTTAAAGGGTAGAAATTGACTTGAGTAGCATTTATCAACCCTCAGGGACACGCTATGTAAACGGGGTGCAGAGATTAATCGGATGAGCTTCGGATTACATCCATTGTAAAGCATAGCTTATAATAATTATTCAAAAATAAATTTTTAATATAACTCACTTAGGGCTGCCTGATCGTCCACCACCCCATCCTCCTCCTGAAATAAGAAGCTGATTAGGCTATGGAAGTTCTTTTTGACTTCCCAAGTGGACTGCGTTCCCCTCGCCCAATCTACTCCCATCCCATTAAATTTGAGGAGAAATTCGTCGCATTATTACAAAATGGAGTACTTACCATGCTGTTGTCGTCCTCCACTACCCCATCCACCTCCGGTTCCCCAGCCACCTCCGTGGCCGCCTTGATGTGTCCGGGATTGATGAACTGAAAAATGAATAACTTTATTGGATTCCCTGAGGAGATCATTTAAATGAACGTAATCTCCTTTAAAGCAAGATAGAAGCATGCAAATTTCGAGATCATGGGGGCTATTGAACTGGGACTAGCGCGAACTGAGGCAGTCCCGAGTTGAGAGGACCTCGGAGCGAGCCTGGGCTGGAATGATTTCTCTTAGTAAGAAAAGGGTCCAAAAAACATTACGTAAATGCATTGAGATGTCCTTATCTATGGCAATTAGGGGAAGGGATTGAACCAATTCCGTAGAAGCTTGTTTGCGTCTGAGGAGCTATATTTGGCTACTCTTCAGGGTAGGCGAAGTTGTCAACTGTGAAGGTGATGAGCTCGATCAGTCTCCGGTAATACGAAATCCTAGAAATCCTTTGAAAGTTTTCGAACAATTGCTGACAACCAGCAGAAAGATTGCCGCTGTCCTCGTTCTTTCAGACAATAAAGGTCGAGTATTATAAGAAAGGTCAGGTTTTCTTACTGAGAAGTTTACCCAATTGTAAGAGGATGAGAATTTTCGAGCCTGAAATGCTTCCCAGTCAATTTTAATGGGCTTCTCACAAAGGAATTCGGAATTAAACTCTGCAGAAAACGTAAAATTGCCAGTTTTTCTCCTAACTTCCTAACTCTGGACCCTTCTGGATGTGGATGCGTAACAGAAACATAAAGGATCAGCTATACTATAGTTATGCCAACTGGATACCCAACCCAAAAGCGGCAGGGGACTATGCAAGTTGAGGATCTTTGCTTTAACCCAAGACTTCGTTTCCGAATCACACAGGCTACGAAAATCGGAGATCGGAACTCAAATTTTTGTGGCAGTTCAGATTAGAGAAGCTAACTGAACGACCTAATTGGTTAACTACTATAATCTACAACAAACTGAAGCTATCTATCAGCTAACACCACCTCATCACGGTTATCACCAACCACCACTACACCATCATTAACCTCCGCCAAGATTTCTGTTATATACGTTCGTTCCGCTACTAGTTCGCATTGGTTTCGAACCTCCTCCGAATAGACCACCGCCGCCCATTCGGGAGGCGGATGAGCCACGTGATCGGGAGCCGCCCAGGATTCCGCCTCGCTTGGCATCCAACGGCGGTAACAGCTCGAACGATACCAGCGCTATTAGTAACCATGCAGCACGCCGATTCCGCATCTGAAATACGCAATTTGTTAGGGAAGACTTTGAAGGGAAGAAATAGCTTCGGACGCTCATCGCGAGGACAAGTGGGAGGTTCAAGTTGTTCACGAAACAATAGAATGCCTACCAATTGAGAATGAGGTTCGGACAGAAAGGTCGGCAAAGCATTCATCTGAATTTTAAGGCAGAATGGCATCTAATCCATTGCCCTTTTTGGCAGAACGCATAGGGTAAAGCATTAGTAACGCATGATGGTAAGAGCCTTAGAAAGCACGTGAGAAAGCCTGGGTGGATGTGCTGAAAAGTGCAGAAGCTGGTGGTGGTCGAACTGCGAGCATCGATTTAATCCTTGCCCACAAATTAGTAGGGATCCCGGCAAGAGCTGCGAAATTAAAATGAACTATATTGTAGTCGAGAAGAGTGGATTTCTTGAAGAGTATAGATCGTTCAAGTTTGAAGTATAAACTGGACCGTAGGAGCCGACCCGAGGTAGGAAGACGTGGTTGGTCTACACGGGTATCATCCAGAATTTGATTCCCAACTATAAACTAGTGACGCTTTTTGGATCTACTCCACTTTTCCTCATGGGGGATGTGAATTGAAGAACTAAGAGGTAGAAAGGTTTTATAGAATACAATTGGAAATAATTGAGCATGAACACTTAGGTTGCCATTTTCAAGAATTTATGCCCATCCTTATCAAAACAAAATACCGAAGGCTTCAGAGTGAGCAACTGCGATCCGCATGGTCTTCCCCNCCCCATTGCTTTATCTGTGTGATTGCTATCTTATTCCGGCGCGAAATTAGTCGGGAAGTCGGGAAACACTTTCTACAGTGGGATGAAGGATTTGTGGCTTCAACTGCTTCTGAGATGTCTTCGAAAGCTCCTTAACGTTGGTAGGCCAGAGTGGAAGGGGATGACTCACAGCCATTACGTAGCCCTTTGATTGACTTAATTAAAGTTATACTTTGCTCTTTCTTTCGCAGTACGAGAGAATAAGTAAGATATCCAGAGATCTTTCTTTGGACAATCGTTTTCTTTTCTTTGAGTGCAGCGGCGTCATGGTAATAGGGTAATCGGCTCGGGAGCGTAGAATTAATAGAAAGTCTGATAAACTAATCTGGAATCATCGGTTTATCTTGAACGACGGGAAAAAGTGTGGAAAGGTTTCACGTAAAGGACCTTAGGAGTCGGTTTGAGGGATTCGAAGGAAATCTGGTAAACGGGTAACCCATACACCTCGGAGCGGGTAATCCCATACTATGCTTTTAACCGCTTAACTACTGCACTCTCTAAAAGATGGTATCGATTGAAGGCGCGTAAAATCAATCCCTACTGTATAAAACATGGTGAGGTAAGATCCGATATTTGAAGAAACTTAAACTTACCCGAATATACAAAGAAAGGAGACCAAAACCGAATCGAAATAGAATAATTCCTGTATCCAATTGGCCCTCTCTACTCGACTGAGCAATTTTTGCAGTCGAGGTAATCCTAACAGGGAAACTTTCCCAAGCAAGGGCTCTCGATATTTGATAGAATTTTACAAAATGTCAGCGGTTTTCAAAGATCGTGACGAAGTGAGCATAAAGATGAATGAACGTTAATAATTGATATGAACTGCGATAAGTCCGTCATTAAGACGTCAAAAAAAGACCTCGATAAGGAGGGTCGACCATTAGCCACCTGGGAACGGGAAACGTGGAAAGTTCATTCAAAATGGGACAAAGCAAAAATGTATGGAAATGAAGAAAAGAAGTTTTAGAGTAGTGGAAAAGACTGATGGGAAAGAACGATTGAATAAATTGATATTTAATGAATTTTTTCAGCATCGATGTCTAACAATAAGTTATTTTGTTTGGAAGAAATTCAAGTCATCCAGAATGAACTGCTCATTCATTCCAAGGGCATTTTTATTGGTTCCGATTATCGAGTACTAAGTATTCTGATTTTCAGCACTTATTATTTCAATGATCAATTAAAATTCAGTCATTACTAATTTGTTGTGACGATGTTGATTATTTTACTCTTATTTTTTGGGTCGGAAGAAAAGAATAAAGAAAGAAAGGAAGAAAAAACGAAAAAAAGAAAAAAGAAAGTGAGGACGAATGAAAGAAGGAAAGAGAGAACGAAAGAGTGAATGAATGAAAGAAAAAAGAAGGGACGAACGAAAGAAAGAAAAAAGAAGGGACGAACGAAGGAAAGAAAGAAAGAAGGAAAGAAAGAAAGAGAGAAAGAAAGAAAGGGAAAACAAAGAAAATAACAAGAGAAAGTAAGAAATTGGAAGAAATGGCCTCAGCTGAGATAATAAGACGAAATACGGCAAAACTGGAACTAGTTCAAAAATTCAGTAATCTAGGCAATCTACTAACGTTTCCCCTCCACTTTCGATCGAAATCGCATCCCCAAATAATCCAAGCATTCCATTGAAGGACATCGACATGACATACACTACAACTGCCCCCGTTCGCAACTATTTTGAGAGAGTATCATCATTAGGCAGAGAGCGTTTCGTCAAATGAGCTAGAAGAATAAGCGTCAATGGATTGATAGAATATAGTGTTATTACAAATATATTATTGTAAACATATAGACATTTGAAAGAATCGATTCATGGAACCTTACATCGTTGTTTCTGATCTTGTTGCCTAGCCAATAGTAAAGTCCCATGATAAACGTGTTTATTTTATAATTTGGAAAGCGATTAATCCCTGGACATCCTTTGTAGCTATTCTGTAGCCACTTTGTAATTATGGTACACTACAGTAATCTAATAATAAATAATAAAATGAAGAAAATCATAGCATAAGAGCGAAAACATATTCAGGATCGATTCATAAGGTGTGGAAGTAATTCATTAAATGTGACGTTACAGGGAGGTAAGAAAGCGGCCAATACGATTCACAATGACCAGAGCCAAAAGTAGTTTTTGATGATTCACGGTAAGGGAATTCCTAACGGAAAGTCGAGTCAGCGCGAAAAGGACGATCTGAGGTGAAGAAACTGGAAAAACAAGAGGATGGGAA